GGGATCAAAGTGCAAATAGAACAATACATAAGAAGCTGCAAATGTGGTAGAAAAGTTGTTGCTGTATAATCACCATCAGTTCTGGAGGGATCCTCCTGATCTTGGTCTTAACAGCTCTCAACTTTTTGCAAGAAGGAAGAGGAAGGTGAATTGCTTTGGAGGTGGGGTGGAAACAACATCAGGATTGTCTGTGTGCTTTGGGTGTCCGGGGATGATTTCATATTGTGCTTGTTGAACTTTAGGGGGAGGGTCCCCCTTCGCTTGGTTGGGGGATGTGCACAATGGACAGAATCAGAACACACTGGGTGTACTTCCAAAGCACTAGCTAGAAAGTCACTGAAATACATTTTGTTTCATACTATTTGAATGAAATAGTAAACATAGCTATGTAAAATAGGAATTACTTGTTATGTAGCACTGAACGCCAGAACTCATACTTCTGACTCTAGAATCAGTGTTTTAGACACTTGCATTTTGGGAGAGGATAATAGATAAATTTCTCACAAATCAAAGACTATTTGTGCTTGTCTAGCTGTCATGTGGGTTTGCCCAGACTCCGGAGGTCAGTTAAACACAAACACCAAAGAGATACGAAGACATGGAGGTGTACAGTTCAATGATTCTGGTTTGAAAATAAGATAGTTTACTGAATTGGGCTCATAATAAAACTGATCTTCACAGTGAATAAAGTATATACATTTCATTCATGCACATACTGGTGTATATGCTACATATAACTGTATAAAGCTATCACTAGTGCACGGATACTCTAACTTAAGGACCAGATCCCTTAGAATCTATTTAAAAGTTTGCATGTCATAGTATGTTTCTTCTGAAAATACATAAAATCCTGAGGTCTCATTAGAGTCTTTGCCTTTAGTTTGTAAGTGAATGAATGCAGAAAGACTTGTCTCTTGTTGGGAAATTTTCATTCAGATCTGTATTATAAGCAGTTACAAGTGATGGAGGGAAATTGTCTCAAAAGGAAAAGAAATCATTAAACCACACTACATATTATTTTGCAAGCAGGACTAGCAAGTAGGGGAAATACAAGTGTAGAATTTGGTGGAAAATGCTGACATTTTACAATATCGTTAATTACAATGCAAGAGATTGTTTTAAAGGAATGTAATCCCTGAACTCTCATTTTATTTTGTAGCTCAGCAAGCACCGTCCTTCTTGCGCAATCTCAGTGACCAGATTGTGAACACCAGCCATTCTGCTACTTTAGAATGTCAGGCTCATGGCATTCCCGAGCCCCAGATATCCTGGTTTAAAAACCACGAAGAGATACAGCAAGAACCAGGTGAGAGCTGCAAACAACCTTTCTCATCCTCACTCTGTCTCTCTTAGGTACTTATTACCCTAGTATCTGAGCACCTCACAATCTTTAATGTATTCATCCTGATAGCTTCCCTATGAGTTCAGGCAGAACTCCCTCCATCCCTCCCCCCGCATTACAAGTGGGAGAATTTAGACACAGAGGACTAAGTAATTTGCTAACAGGAAAACCACTGGAGAAGAAGAATTTGGGCTTGGGTGTCTCAAGTCCCAGGCTAGCAGCCAAACCACTGATATTGGGAAACCAGACCAGAACTGGAATTCATCTGCTTGTAGGGGGATCCATTTGTCATGTAGCATTACATTCTATTATGAGAAATTTAGGAGTTGTTCCTTTGTTGGAGATGGACTTGTTTTTTCTGCCATAACCAGAAAAGACCTAGAGAAGGGGGCAGGGGAGGCGAGGATTTAGAGCTGGATTAACATTGCACGAGGGTTTGAGTTCAAGGCTTAGTTGGGGCTACATGGGCAGCTAAAATGGCACCAAAATCATGTGAAGTAATAACAGGAGACTTCAGCCCCAGTTGATAGGCACCTTGTATGAGGGAGATTTAATGAGATTTCAGCCATATCCCAACAGAACTAGATAATGAGGCTCTATTCGTTTTACGTTGAATCTGTAATCAAAATCATTCTGGTAGGTTTGACTACACGAATTGGAATCCAATCCTCAATCTCCTTTAGAAAAACCCAAGGAAGTTTGAGTTCAAGCTTCTGGCTCTGACCATTTTTCTAGTTGCTAATGTAACAAACATAAGCAACTGGAAAAAAAATCAAAGACCATGTACCAGTAATAATCACCAGACCCCAAATGCTGTTGCAGTAACAAGACAGACACCAAATCAGATGTAGGACCCAGTCCTGCAAACAGGGCCATTCCTGCGCCCTGGGCATGCACAGCTCCGCCCCCGGGTGCATGTGCAGCCTCGCCCCCCCCCGGCGCACTGTGCAGCTTACAGCTGCAATCAGGCGCACGGTGCCTGATTGCAGCTCTAATGGATGCCACACGGCCTCCCGCCCCAGGCGCGTGGTGCCTGATGGCAGCTCTAAGGGGCACCGCGCAGCACCCCTTACAGCTGCCATCAGGTGCCCCCCATAGGTTGGCGCCCCGGCTAGCCCCCCCCTTAATCTGGCCCTGCCTGCAAATACTTAGTACTGAACACATGGGTTACAATGGGACTAACATAAACACTCCCATTAACTTCAGTGGTACTACTAATCATGTGTTTAAAGTTAAGCATGGTAAAGTGTTTGCCTAGATCGAAGTCTAATCCCAGTACTAAGCATTAAATCAAGAAATAAAGCACTTTCAGGACCAGTCCAATAGGAGGAGCCTTCTCACTAACATGAGTAATGTGTAAACACCAGTTTCCGCCAGAGCCTCGAAACCTTTCAACACCTTGTAACTCTGAAACAAACACACAAAAATTAAGGATCCATCCACTTCCTAGTGCATTCTGTAATGTATGGCTAATCCCTAACAATCAAAAGAGTATTGTCTTACATAATTAGTTGTCTGTGATTATACTCCAGATCCCACTCATTTAAAAATCGTTTACCCCACAGGAATAATTTTAGGGCCAGGAAGCAAAATGCTGCTTATCGAAAGAGTCAAAGTAGAGGATGAAGGATTTTACCAGTGTATAGCCACCAACCTAAAAGGATCTGTGGAAAGTGCAGCGTATGTCACTGTACAAGGTAAAGCATTGCATTAGATGGAAACGAGAAAAACTGCTCTAAGTTCTTGTTCTCTATTTGATTTACTTTTCCTCTTTCTCCCTGTTATTTTCTCTAAGCCGCTTATAAGTGGATTTCTTGCTTTGACTAGGAAGGTAAGTGGCTTGTGGATCATGTGTGATTTCTGAATACAGCAGTTTGAAGGAAGTCTTTGCAAGAGAAATGCACCAGATTGGAAAGGAAGCCAATGGGAAATGCTCACTGTGTTTATACTGACCTAAAAATAATTGCTGCAAACAAAGAAATAGAGGGTCACTGTAGCAGATAAATGTAAATTTAGCATAAAAAGCTCTGCACATTCATTTTTTTTAATTATTTCAGAAAACTATAAACTGGAATGAGACTTTTTGATATTTTCATTTTCTGAGTTGTAATATAAAATGGACTGATAAGTCCAGCTATGAAGGCTTTCTAGTAAAGACAAATACATCTTTTGGAGGTATTTAGTATAGGAGGTAGGGGGTTGTTATTCTTCCTCAGGTAACTCATGCTATTCATGTGATCGTACAGTCTTTTTTTACAATTCTCTTGGCCTCAATGGTGCCTTGTGGCAATGAGTTCCACAGGCTAATGGTGCATGATGTGATAAGGAAATCAGTATTGGCATGTTCTAGTTTCAAGTTCTTTGCCTTTCTTGGCACATTGGTAAATTCATCACTGTAAAAAGTCAATATGAATGTGTATATATAGGCAGGGCTACATAAAATAGACGAAGGACTTTTTTGCCAGCTATGTTTTGGGGAGTAATTTTTAGATGTGTATGGCTATTCTAAAAAAACTCTGTTTTTTGAGTGCTTGCAGTTAAATACACCCTGCAGATTAGCTAATTTGTCTAGATAATGTAATGTTACCTTGTACGGATTATTGACTGTAATTGCATTTTGTTATTTACTGATCACATTTCGTGAGCTAGTTTCAGGGGAAGCAGTGTTTCCTTGTTGCCTTATCCAGGGGAGAAGGGGAGGCTAGTGGATTCCTGTCTGAATAAATGTCCTTCAT